AGGAGCCAATGGACCACTGTACCACAGCACCTAACTCCACTTGCACTCACTAAGAAATGTTGGAAGAGCCGACAGTCACACCCAAAAGGGGCTGCCTTTTTTTGGGGGGGACAGGGGGGAGAAGAGATGCCTAGATGTCATTTGCATATCACCATAGGATGTTTTGGGATGAAAGTTGCTACACAAGCACTTAACACTATATGGATCCTATTATTTCAAGGTTCAGCCACCAGGCCACACAAGCAGCGAGATCCGTTTGCCTTGTTTCCATCTGAAGCCAGCTGTCAAACACGTTCAGGGAAACTCAAACATTTCAGCAGCTCAGTCCTAACACTTCAGCAGGCAACATCCCAAGACTCCCTTCAAGTACAACAGCACAAGGAACAGGTCATGGCTGAGATGCGCTTACCTCTCCCCTCCGATCTGAACCTCCTCAAAGAGTTCACACTGGCCCAGCACGTCGTCTGTTAAGGCATTAACGCTGGTCTGAATAGAACCGCCGCAGGCCTGCAGTGTGCAGGAGAGAGGGTGTTGCTTTAAGGAAACAGCTGACAAGCCACATCCATGCACACAGTAAGGTAGCTCTCTTCATGACCACCTAGCCACAAAGCCTCTGACCTGACTGGTGGCAGGAAGCAATATGCTAGAGCATCACACACCAGGGGATGAGAGCATTCTCCTCCCATCTTGAGGCTAGGGCATACCAAGGACATCAAAAGACTTAAGACAAAGCAGCCTGAAGAGGTGCTAACTGTGCTGCTGTGGCAGCAATACACAAGTCCTACCACAAGTCAGGGAGTGGCAGGGGCTGTAGCTCTGATGCCCACTTGAGGAGACAGTGAAAGATAGCCATCAAGAAAGAGAACACCACCCCCCCACACACCCACCAGTGTAGAACAAGCCCTAGGAGCACCACTATGAAGAAAGAAGGGGAACAGACTACATGAAGGTACTGCCTAGGTGCACATTGCTATAGTTAAGAGCAGTACAGGTGTCAGCACCAGTGGGGATGCAGTTATACTGGTATAAATTCCTGTGTGAGAAGGGGGTTATGTTCACTGGTATATGGCAGCTTTACCTGTGCCAGCTGGTCAGCTGACAGGACACCCAAGACTGGGAAGTGGACTGGGGCCAACAGGTCACATCACAAAGACCCCATGAGCACGGCATAACAGTACTCGAGAAGTCAGTTAAACATCTTCCTCACTAACCAATGGATTCATTTCTCTACTTGCATCTCAGCTACCAGTCTGGGGTCAAGCTGCTTGCCTCCCACTGACCTTCACTGGGGCTTGGGCACCTAACTCCAGCTGAACCCCTTGAAAATCATGATCTTGCTGATTTGCTCAAAACACCAACTGTGTAGAGCACAGCCAACTGCAGGGCACAGGAGCTCTGCTCTAAGTACCATGCCCTGCTCAGTCTGGCTTCCCATAATCCCTTCCCCACTTGAGCAAAGAATCAATTAATTTAAAGGCGACTTTAAACTAATCTTGGTACCCAGTGCTCCCCATGTTTGGTCACTCTAAGCAGTGGGAGGGACCTGGCCAACACACAGGCACCAGGAAGACTTAATCACCAGCCTAAACCCTCTACTCAAACGTTACCATCATCGTCCTTTTGAGATCTTCCTCCGGGACCCGGCCTGCACAAAAACATGTCCCTGTCAGCAAAGTACTGCGTGGCAACATCGCCAACGGGCAGCTTGGATAGGACCACCTTGGCTCCCGACTTGTGGATTTTGTCCAGCTTGTCATACAAAATGTTCCACTTGGCATCCACGATCGTCTGGTAATCCTACAAAGGGAGCAGGGGAGATTAGAGAAGGGTTTTCAGGGTGGTTTCATTACAAAGCAGGCCTGTGCCATCCCCCGTCACCTGTGCAGGGAGATCTCATTTGAATCAAAGGCAGCAGCAGTACCGCTTTACAGACTGGGCAAAGCAATTTTAGGTCGCTCATTTTATAACAGGAAATGGAGTCCATTAAAAAGCCTATTGAGCTGTGCTTCTTTAAGATCAAGGGCCAGGCTGAGTGGGCAGAAAGAGTCACAGCTCAGCACAGCTTGGAAACAGGTCAGTAACACTGCACCAATGGCTATGGGGTGTTTAAACAGAGACGATGAGACTGTCACCCAGGCAGTACTGGCAGTAGACAGTCACTGCAAGAGAAAAAAAATGCACTGCTTCAGGGCTGTCCAACTGGCAGTGCATGGGCCAGATGGCCCATGGGCCAAGGGATACCACCCAGTCACTGTTGCCTGCATCATTCCTACTGCTGTTCCCACTGGCATATCTGGGCTCCCCATCCTTCCTCCAGCTTCCACTTTCTGCATCTGCTCTTGGGGACAAAGCAGCATGGCCCAAGGAGTCCAGAGCCTGAAGCCCCTGGGCACTTGCAAGCGGAATAGTCCTGTACTACCTGGTCTTATCTGGTGCTTTCCCACAGGGCTCAGGCTTTGTGAACCAGACATACAGGGGTGAAGGGGAATACTCTAGCCACTCACACAAGCCACTGCTAGACAAAGGTTTAAACAATAAAGGGACCTATTAATTGAAACTAGGTAGAGATTTAAGGGAAACAGGACAATTTCTCAGGCTAAAACATGCCCAAGAAGCCAGCATTACACTCCTGTTCACATACAAAGCTCCAAGGGATTTAAGTAACAGCACTGCTGTCAGAGCTAAATGTTAGGAACTCCTTTCTGAGAATTTTTAATTGATCCCTAGCATTCTAGCTAAAGAGTTTTGCCTTGAGCTTGTTCCAGGCAATGGGGATTGGAAACTTGCCCTGTTTTAAAGAGGTGTTTATTAAGTCCTGGATGCTCTGTGGCTCAAAACACTGGCTGTTTTTACATTGCCATGGCACAATCCAGGGATTTCTCATGTGCATGAGGAAATCGCACTGCTCGGCACAGCATTTCCCTGCATCACTGTTCTGGTCAAGGGAACCCATGCAGTGGGCTGGAGAAACACGCAGCAGTAACTTTATGACACCTAAAGAGCCCTGCTGTACATTAGAGGCATGGGTTTGGTCTGGCTGTGGCCCCCTTCACGCTCTCACCTCCACAGTACTGACTCGGACTTCGGCATTGTCTCTCGGCTTTGAGTTCGAGTTCTATGTTCAGCAAAGCAATCTTGGGCAACTCATACTTCTTTGGCTGCATCTCAAACCCAGCGTAAGAGAACGTCTTCTTAAAGGCAACTCCAGCCACCAGCTGGGGCTCCTGAAAGAAGGAAGGCTCAGGTTAGTGTTGGCCACACACAGCTCCTCTGGCAGGCTTAATGAGCTGCAGTCCAGGAGTCTCCCTTTATGCAACAAAGGGCCATTTATGCAAT